ACTGCAAATGCACTGTTGCCATGGGAATTTGGTGTCCCTGAATCAGGGGTGGTTATCATTGATGTTATTAAATGGGATATGCTCCAGTCCAACATGTTCTTAAAGACAGTATCTCACCCTTGGACAGAGCATCTGATCAGAAACAGAACGTTTCTCCCAGTTTTTGTTTGGCAGCTCATATTTGATCTTGTGGAGAACAACAGGGAACGACAGCTGAGACTTGTATTCACAGACTCTCCCACTGGAGAACAGAGCAGGACAGACAGGAAGAGTTTCCAGCAACACCCCAAAATCCCGCCCTTCCCAAGGGATGATCCTTACCCTGGCTGCTGCATCTGTGAGCACGGCCAAGGCCTGGGACAGCTGGTGGAAGATTTCCGCTGGGAACGAGAAGAAATGAGGGTAAGATGCAGGAAACCATGTGAGGCATCTGGGAAAGAACAGGAAAGACAATTCCTCATGGGAGAGACCTGCAGGAATGTCTCCCCAAGAAAGAAGAATCATCTCTCCAAAGCCAACCTCTGCCAGGGTCACCTCAACCCAAAGGGCAACATCTGTCACATCAGCCTGAGAGCAAATAAGGAAACAAAACCTGGGATCGTTTCATTTTAAGAAAAATCTTGAACACGTGAACCTAATTTTTCTTACTGATTGTTTTTATCATGGGTTGCAATGTCTCCTTCATGGCACATTTAGCTGGAGCTCATGGTTTTCTTCTTCCTCTCAGTGCTTTTCCTTTCACTTCCTCTTGTTTGTGTACAAATAAATCATCAAGCATTCCTGCTTATGTCTATTGGAAATTGTTATGTTATATTACAGCCATCTAGCCTTTAAAACTCTTTCCTTTGTCCTATTATAAGCACTGGGAAATTATATTTATTTTTGTGAAGATGAATTATCAGCAGTCTCGACGCACAAAAAAGAAACTAATTGCTAATTATGCAGTTTCCATCTACAACAACCACTCCCCCCCTCACTGCAGGCAGCTGAAATTCTCCCTTCCACACAAATCCCGCCTGGCACATCACCAGCTTTCCAGCCCGAGATCCAAACTTTTCATCTCACATCAACATTGCTGCTCCTCCTCCTCCTCCTCCAAGGTGACACACATAAGCCTGAGGCTTCCCCACATCCTTCCCATCGCTCCTGCAGGCATCAAACCTCCCAGATTTCCCCTCAGTGCTGCTATTTTTTTTCCCCACAGTTACTCTGGGAACCAGGGCAGCGGCAGAAGCCAGACCCTGCTCAGCCTGGGTGAGCTCAGCTCCACAGCCGGGGCCCTTTCCCCGACAAAAACGGGCCGTGCCCACAGATAACGTGCTGCTGAAGTTTGGACTGTGAGAGACACGGGTGAAACCAGCGTCCAGCCAAAGGTCTGGGTTCAGGCACCACGTGGGAAGATTTTGAGAGGTGCAATTCCAGCGCCAGCACTGACTCAACGCTGATGCTCCCAAACCCGACAGGGATCGCTCGGCCCTAAAAAACCGGAGTTAACGGCAACGACAGCCACTCTGAGCCCCGTGTGTGTGCGTGTTCCAGGTGACAGGCACCCTGGCATTCCCTCAAGGACAGTGCTGAAGGGAAGCAGAGCCGCTCCCAGGAGCCTGGAGAGGCGAAAACTCCCAGGAGGAATTGCTGCTGGCGTCTCACCTGCCCGGGGGTTGTCCGGGTTCTTGTCCGGGTGGCACGTCAGGGCCTTCTGTCGGAACGCTGTCTTCACCTGCAGGGGCCACGCTGGGAGTTACTGGGGTGGGACTGGTTTGGGTTTGTCAAAAAAAAAAAAAAAAAAGCAGCTTGGAAAAAAACCAAAAAAACTCTCCCTGTATTGAAAGGGAATGGGCCCGGGACACTCGCAGGG